GGATCAATAAAGGTCCTGTGGCGGGATTTTGCGATAGAGTTCGAAAAATTCGGGCGAGATTACAATGTACGTGCATGGGGATTGAATTCAACTGGCTCAGGTCAAGATGTGCACTGGCGGGCCTTCGGGTTCTACAAAGGAAAGATTCCCTGACCGCCTGAGCTACTATCACTTTCTCAATAGCGGTTATGACCCTCGGAGTTAGTTATATTCAGTCACGTGTCACACAAGGTCAGATCCCAGGCTCCTCTGACCTCTAAATGTAACATTGGCACGGACAGAGCAGAGCGGTTTCTGTGGAAGCCAGAGGAAAGTCGATCGAAACATCGCGTTACCCGCGTCTCTTCACGCAGCAAACCCCCCACCCCGAGGGGGATACTTGGCCGATTTCTGACGATTTGTCCACCCTGAAGTCACGTGCCACCTCAGAGACCAATCGTGAAAACGTCTACACCCAATTCTTGTTTCAGTCAAATTTCAATAAAATTCAAATTTTTTCATCAAAATTGCAAAGTCTCCGAGAGGAATTCATACCCACTGTTTATTCATAAATGTTCGTACATACGTCTGTTTGAATGGAACCCGAAAAGGTTCGTTACCGTTCTGACAAAATCCCGCCACTTGTTCTTGTCCTGAGCCACATGAATCCAGTCGATACCCTGTTTCTAAAAAAAAAAAATCACTTTAATATTATCCCGCTATCTACGACAACTGAACTGTAATTTAACAAGTCCCTGAGAAAAATAGGGCAGGCGAAGTGCTTCGCGCGATTACGTAACGTGGCCAGACGATGGAGTGCATCGACCTCTGGCGGAGATCCGCGCAAACACGTGTAAAGCCACAATCAGGCAAAGATGGCTACTGAGCGAGCATCGGGAGACAAAGGACTCCGAAGTCGAAACAAACAAAGGACCACGCAAATGTTCCTGTGTCAGAGGTCCTGACTGAGGACCTTTCGAGATGTTATTCGGTACCACCAAGGATTTACGGGACATCAGACGAGGCCACGCACAATCCATTCTTCATTCGCTGAACACTCGACGCTTGTACGAAATGGATCGTAAACAGATGAGAGCTACGATCTCGGCGGAGAAAATAGTCTCATGACGAGGAACGGCGAAGCCTCGCAACTTATCAGAAGAACTTAATTTCACCTGAACGACGTAAATAGACGAGCGATAACCCCGTTCCACGCCCCCCATTTCTGGCAAGATAAGGAACCCCCAAGCGGCAAAGTTGCCTTATCGCTGGGGGCTCAAACTTCAGTTTCTGAAGCACAAAATAACACAAAACCTCACATCAACTCCACAGGAACAAAAACCCTTCTTGAAAACCTGACAGTCGCTAAACCAGCCAAGAAATTCCCCACCTTTTATGGAACCCAAAGATTGTTCATTACCGTATTAACAACATCCTGCCACCGTCCCTGTGCCAGTCAAATCCAATCCGCGCCGACACACCATGTTTCCCTAGTGTTCTGTGTGACGACAGGTCCATATGAACAGGATCCTTCCATCCTTTTCTCGGACTGGGACCTGTTCATATACGTTCTTGGCAGATGATCCAGAAGTGGTTTGCCATTGCCTTCTTCTGTGTGTGAATGGAGTAATTGTTGGGATGCCACGGAGGAAAACTCCGTGTTGCCTAGACCACGGCCTTGCCCCATTTTAATATTATCTCCTCACCAACACATTATTCTCTCAAGTGATTCATTCCATCTTCCTCAATTTCATCATCTTAGTGATATAATATTTCAGGTTGTAAGGAGATACCAACGTTTCGGAGAAACATACTGCCTCTGTCTTCAGGGTACGTACCTCAGAAATGTCGGTTTCTACCTGCAAGTCTGTCCACACGGCGTACCAACGTAGAAGATCGACAAAGCAGTATTGCCACCGTGATAAAAATAAAAGTACCCGTATCATTGTGGACCTGCTTTTGGCTTCTCCGAGCCGGCCACAGGTTGCCGACTGCCGACTGTTTAAAAGTCGGTGTTGACACTTTCACTTCAGACGTGGCTCACGGCGAGCGGTTGGTTCGTGAGCAGGAAACATCCGACACCAAGTTAACACCGGAGTGTGAAAGTAGACTACACGGTGTACCAAAACCGTGTCCCCTTCCTTCGTAAAAAAAATTCTGAAGGACACAAAAGACTTATTTTCGTAAACGAAAGGATAATATTAAAATAGACATTCTAACAAACACGACGAAAGCCTGTGAGCTGGATTTAACTGGCGGGTAAAGAACCTTCCAAGATCATGGTGGACAGATGAGTGACTATCAGATTCAAAAGTAGCCAAAGTCTGTGTCTGTGAAATTAACTAATTTCTTACAGAAAATCCAAGTGACCACGTCACGTGATACAGCATCGTCTTCGCTTTCATTACAGAAATCACGAGAGCCAGTTAAATCCAATCCGCAGAGCCAGTTGGTACTCACCGCTGATCCTGGAGCGCTGGACATCATTGTGTTGTCATTGGCGACCGGGACAGCTGACTGGGACTGGGAAGGAGCCTGAGGTTGTTGTTGTTGTTGCTGCTGTTGTTGTTGAGTAGCCCGGGAGACCTTGTTCCGATATCCCTGCAAGAATAAGGTCCTTATGTGCTTGTGGGACAATTACAAATCAGGTAAGACGTAAGTGTCGATTCAGTAACATCCAAAAGACAGGGCACGAGTGTCGAGGTAGGCTCGCGATCGGATGTCAGTAACTCGCTGGTTGGTACGCCTACCGAAATGACGCCTCGTCACAAGCCGGAGGACCCCCAAAACGTTGACGAAATTGTAATCTCTCCCGGTCAGCGCCACACACACAGACACGGCGGTCGGTCTAATTTTACCCAGCGCTGGTTCGACGTCGTTAAAAAAAAAAAACATTGTGACCCGCGAGCTTCACAATAGCTGTGGCCTTGTACTCAGGGAAATAAACTGACCAATGGGAGCATCGCGCGGGAAACAACGTCCACGCTTGTACGTTGACCTCAATAGACTTTGATAAGCGCGCGGCTGTGTGTTACTAGGAGCTCGCTCGCTCGCACGCCATGTTTGCATTTTCACCATGCAGTTGCCCAACGGACACTACAGGATGTCCCACAAGTTCCTACCCATAGCAAAACGATGAAAGGAAATATCAGAGGGGAAAGTTGTTAGAAATCACGCGTTGCCAGTCCCAAGAGTTATTTTTTTTTTAATTGCTGGGGGGCTAAGCCACATTCTTTGCATCATTAGCTGCAAAAACAGCTAGGCGATGTTGCCACGTTGGCATAACAGCGTGGCAACGTCGCGGGTATCACTTTACCGCCGATGATGTTTCAGCCTGTGACGCCATAAAGGATCGTCCCAAGTTAACAAAAGTTACATTTTACACTGGAAATACATGTTTTTTTAAAACAATTTCTCTCAGTATATTTTACCGAATATTACAGTTTTCCTATTACCCTAGTTTCGTGCGACACTCTGTATACCAGCTGCCCATTTTATCTGGAGTCGATAATTTAATAACCAGAGAGCACCTAGGAGCATTATAATTAAACGAAAAATTTTAAAATTTCACGAAGAAATTGTCCAGCCATTTAAATTCTGATTAAACCGGCGACCAAAATGCTTTCCTTCGCCGCGGTTGACGGCTCATTACGTGACCACGACGAACATTCACAAATGTGCAAGATCGGGGAATCCATCTGTGGGAATCCCCAATCTCCGGTCATCCAGAAAAAGCGAAAACGCGAAAGAATTGTGCATTTCCTAACTTGTTGTCTTTTTCAGCGTGGTTTCCATTTGGAGGTACCGGGTTGAAAGCTGGGTTCGCCTTGTCAGACGCTACATGACGTTAGCAGTTGATACACTGCCATAAAGAACGCACTCCGATTGTCCGATCAGTGTCCGGATGACAGACTTCGCGTGTTCAAGGCTGCACGACCTCGCAGTCTGGCACTTCAAGGTGTACGGACCACGGCCTCTGAACACGAAACCTCGAGACCCTAAAAAACTGACTGTCGTTCCGTCAGCCATGAAACAATTCTCACGACGACGAGTATGTATCGCCGTGTAGTCTGATAAGACATCGACCGACGCCTCGGAGGAGCTTACAGGTTCTTCATTCAATGCCCACCGCCTGACACTTCGATGAGCCAGGATTTCAACGCAGTCCCCACGAGACGTCGCCCGAGGCCCAACACCCGAACCAGCGGGACCGCTGTTATTGTCCGCCCTCATAATTTTTCATATTTCTACGGAACATTCCTCTGTTCCTCAAACCGCTTCTTCCCCACACAACGGATATCGACAGAAATGGAACCCTTCTGAGGTCACGTGACGCCACAAAGAATCGGCGACCGTGGTTCGCATTTTGAGAAACTTCGTGACCGGAGATTAATCCAAAAATGGCAAAGCATGATATCCGTATCGAGCTGCGAGAATATCGCGCGTCATTTTATCGACTGCTTGTTTTATTATGCACTTATAAATTTAGTGGCTCGTTAAAATCTAAAGGAAAAAGACTTCTTACGAGATCATGTACTAGAAGGACGGACATTACTGCCTCAATATTCGCCATCTGGGTAGAAACGTCGTGTGGAATTACACGTAGGCTAAAAAAACGTTTCGGACGAACATGCCGCCTCCATCTTCAGGGCATCATAACACAGAAGACTACAACCACATTTCCAGATTTCAAATAACGGAATGGTACAGGATATTACAGAGTGTTTTACGTTTTACTTAACTTATCAGTCGTTAAACAACTAAAAATTAAGAAGACGTTTCGGCGCCGTTACCCAAAAACTTCTCTTAAGTAGAAATTTAATGTTTGGAATTAGACCGACATTTTACTCGATCTGTGATCCGAAACGCGATCAGTTGGTACAGCGCTGCATCACCAACACTTGTCAAAACGAGATGATGAAATATTTTTTTTTAAAAAATGGCATTATATACTCTGAGATACTGAAAAAGTGTCGTTAAACAAACTATAAATAAATAAACAGATATTTTATTTATTTGCATCGTATGATTTTCAAAACAAACAGCGATTATTTCCTTAATCAGCGTTAACCAGTTGATCTTTGTAATGGTGAGGCGTTGTGTTTTCTTCGCGGTACGGACTGAATTCTTAAATGCTATTTAGACGAGCTTCGGCTTCGAAGGGTTAATTAATTATCAGAATAAAAATCTATTATTTCCTTAAACAGCGTTAACCAGTTGATCTTTGTAATGGTGAGGCGTTGTGTTTTCTTCGCGGTACGGACTGAATTCTTAAATGCTATTTAGACGAGCTTCGGCTTCGAAGGGTTAATTAATTATCAGAATAAAAATATATTATTCCCTTAAACAGCGTTAACCACTTGATCTTTGTAATGGTGAGGCGTTGTGTTTTCTTCGCGATACGGACTGGATTCTTAAATGCTATTTAGACGAGTTTCGGCTTCAAAGGGCTAAAAGTTTCGTCGAGGTGGAACCGCGACGGTTAGCTCAGCGGTTTGAGTTTCTCGTATCGTCAGCTGTTTTCGTTTTGCATCCAAATGCCCGGACGTCAACGAGCGACTTTTGGCTCAATCTGTACGACGCTCAGGCGTTCCTCGCGACGCATTATTTTTAAAACTCCCTTCGGCGCCAGTTCGTAAAAGAGACGCCCAGGTACAGGCGTCATCTCTGGTCGCCGAAGAACAAATTATCCACTGAAACACAACTTGAATTTCTGTCTCCGCCGTCACTAAAAGTAGCTTCTTAAATCACTTACTTAAAGCTTGCATCTTAACAGAATATTTGCGGAATAACCGTTTTAATATTATCTTCATCGTTTACATAATTTTATCCCTTTCTACTAGCGTTTGCACCAGATATTTTCCGAACATTCCTGAAGCCTGCAGTGGATGCTACATGTTCAGCCCATCTGTTCCTCATTCTCGATTAACGTAATACCAATTTTTTTCTGCAATTATGCGTGGTTTGATGATTTTTCTTAGAACCTTATCCCACCGTCATTTCAACAAAAGCCTCTCTCTCCCTACTTACAAGCGGAAATTTTGCAGACATCAGTGCACAGCGTGTGGCCCAAATTATAACAAAATAAACCCAAAGAAAAGCTTCCATTACCTTCTGTCCGCAAAAACATTTTACGACTCGACATTCACTAAAAGGTTTTTGAAGAAATTTGATATCTATTCCGAAGATCCACTAAAATGTATCTACACATCCCAATTTTAATTAAAATCATAATAACGAGGATCTTCTGATATATATAACTCTGCACAGAAGAACGAATAGCAAATATTTTATGATCTCAGAACACATGATGCATCTTTGAGGCTGCACACTTCAGGTATACGTCGATGGTCCTCTCACATTCTTTTACGTCGTTCGTGGAAGACGATTTGTAAACGCTGAAAAGTTACAGCGTTACGATTCCAAGGCAACGGATTGCCTGTCGCTCATTGCTTCGAACCCTGACGGAGGCACAACTCACACTTTTGTTCAGTGCGAAGTGAGCCCACAAGGAGAACACACATCTCCGGCTCCAAATGGGCCCAGACACTTCACCCCATTTCTATCCTAGACGAAGCTAACCAATGGAATGGGTGTTCCAC